AGATATCATGTTAACAATCTCAATGTATGGAATTTCATAAGTTGACCTCTGTGACCCTTGACCTTTGACATACGTGCTCCAAAATCTAATCAGATCGTCTTCCTATGGTGATACATACTATCCTTAAGTTTGAAGTTTAAATCTCAAATGGTTCTTGAGATATCGCGCTAACAAACTCAATACAAGGAATTTCATAAGTTGACCTCTGTGACCTGTGACCTTTGACCTACGTACTCCAAAATCTAATCAGATCGTCTTCCTATGGTGATAAATACTATTCTCGAGTCTTAAGTTTAAATCTTAAATGGTTCTTGAGATATTGTGATAACGGTCAAACGGGACGGACGTACGGACGTACGGACGGACGTACGGACGTACGGACGGACGTACGGACGTACGGACGTACGGACGGACAACCCGAAAACATGATGCCTCCGGCACCACCTTCGGTGGCGGAGGCATAAAAACACAGAAAATGTAATAAATTTTCAATAATTTATTGCATTTTACCCCGGTCCCCAACATAAAAAATCCTCTTGACGGCCATGCATTATGGCTCAAGGCATGGGCACACAGAATTTTTTTTTTTTGTTAGGCACCGGGGTTAAATGCAATAAATTATTGAAAATTTATTGCATTTTCTGTTTTTTTTTAAATTTATGGAAACTGCCCCCTACCCTAGCCCCCGCTGCGTACAGTCATGGTTCAGTGACAAAGCAATGGCCTCATAACTGTTAGGCCCCAGGATCAAAACCGTGTCGATGTGCTATATTAGTGTCCTTTTGTGGGGCATTAATCCTCATTACTGTCATTTATGACTTGAGAGCGTAGGTCCCCTAGTTAATAAGCATAGTAGCATACACATGCTTTAGCAGTTCCGCAAAACACACATTGGCAAGTTATTATTCAATAAAATCTGAGAATATATACTATTATCTATATCTATTATTTTTAAATAATTTTTAAAATAATTCCATAAATTGGGGTAAAACTAAAATATTCCACCTTTATGAGCGACAGTGTATCTTAACGAATTATGTATTTATTGCTGGTTTGGGTTTTGTTATATCAACAGCGCAGTTCTTTCCCTTCTCATGTTGTCAAGTGTGGTTTTCCAGGTAGGGGGGGGGGGGGGGTCCCACAATTTGCTTTGAAAAAACAACAAGGAGCGAGAAAAAAGGAAATAGAGAGGAAAGCTGAAAAGAAAATGTGAGAGGAATGAAGGAACAAAAACGAGAGAGAATAATATTGATAAGGAGAGAGAGAAAGAAGAAGAGAAGAGGAAGAAAAAGCAAAGAATAAGATTTTATAAAAAGTATTACAGAGCACATTTTTTTTTTATCCCGAAAGTTTGAAAAATTCGCCGATCGACATTTCGTCCCCTTTGGGGGGGGGGGGGGGGGGGGGGGAGGGACAACTTTTTTTGGTCACCCATAAGCACAATTTCTAAATATTTTAACAAAAAAAAATGAGGGGGTGGGGGGGGGGTTTACCTCCGAAACACGCACAATTTTTATTTAGGGTGTTCAACCCCCAACCCTCCCCCCCCCCATGCGTACGCGCCTGATCACACACCATCTGACATAACTTTACTATTAGGCCTACTGCTCTTCTCGTTTATAGTACATTTTTAGTAACCATATCATTTGTATTGGTCACACCATTGAGGGGCACTGGCATGATTGGGATACGTTGGGGATATGTCAAATCTCCTTCATTCTCTTTCCCCTATTCATTTATTTATATTTTTCCCTTTGTTTAGGGGATGCCCCCTGTAGCTACTTTGCAAAACAAACACAAAATAACAAAAATACCTATTCCATTGGTTATTAAACTTTACCCGACACTTCGCAGTAGTATGGGCACGTTTCATAAATATACATTATACATGTAAACAAAAATTGTTTTTATCCCAAGGACCATCTTTGAAGAAAGAAACTATTTGCACTCGATTGTCCCGACCCAGTGGCGGATCCAGCCGGCGGAAAGAGGGGGGGGGGGGGGGCAATCCGTGAGAAAATATTAGTCGCGACTCAACCACCGGTGAATAAGCGGGGGGGGGGGGGGGTAGTAGGCACTTTTTTTGTCCAATTTTTCAGGAAATATTTTACCCCGACTCAGCCAGCCGGTAAATAAGCGGGGGGAGGGGGTGGGTAAGACCACTTTTTTTGTTTTTTGGCCTTCTTCGTGAGAATTTTTTTTTTTTCCAATAATAATAATAAAAAAAAAAGGATCCAGCCGGCGACAAGGGGGGGGGGGCAAATCTTAATACAAAATTTAGCGTCGACTCAGCCGGCCGGCGAATAAGTCGGGGGGGGGGGGGAGAGCACCTTTCTTCTTTCCCTTTTTTGATCGAGTTTTGGAGGAAAAATTTAGCGCCCACTCAGCCGGTCGGTGAATCAATTATTATTATTATTTATTTTTTTTATTTATTTTTTTATTTATTATTATTATTATTTTTTATTTTTTTTATTTATTTATTTATTTATTTATTTATTTATTTATTTATTTATTTATTTTTTTTTTTTTTGGGGGGGGGGCGCTTTTGTTTTGTGTTTTAAAAAAGGTTAACTTTACGTTATTATCCTATTTTGTTATCGTTTTTTGGGGCTAGGGGGGGGGGGGGCCCGGGCCGGAAAAATCGCTACGTGGATCCGCCCCTGCCCCGGCCTTTCATGAATAAGGATATACGTTTTCACGAAAATTTGTGCACCCAACCGCGAAAACCCGGTGGTTCGAAGTTAGCCATTGGGATGGTCTGTGATAAATTCATCATGGATTTGTATATAAATCTAGAACAAAAATGAAAGAATTTGATCATCAAATACAATATTTGTATTGTACTCAACCACGGCATATAACTCTAGTTTGTCTGCTGGAACCCTGCTACTGCCGATGGTGCAGCGTTGCTGGTTAATGTACAGTTTTTCAAGTGCTAAATGTAATACTTCTCTCGAAGAAAACGAAAACGAATTCGACATTTTGGCTGTTGAAAGTCACCAACCGCCACTTAGCTGAATGCATCAGAGATTAGGTGTGTGTAAAAAAGAAGAAGCAAGGAGCAAGGTGATGCATTTTACAGAACCGTCTTTCGTAAGCCATAACAAGCAGCCAACCGCTGCCAACGTGCATAATGAGTGAGAAATTGAATGTGAAAAATCATAATCAATCGGAGGGTGTTCAACGTTTCTTTGAATTAATTTCTTACTTTCAAGCATGAAAAATAAAGGAGCCTGGAACGGCTACAATATAGTGAATAGGTGTTCGAGGTATGGAGTCCATTTTCCCCGTTATCTAATTATTATGATCTTCTGCTTAAGAATACCTATACGTGTATTTATTCTAGTTACTTTCCCGGGATATACATTTGTTCAATGGTATTTTTTTCTCTCTCTTTACCTCTTCAGAGGGACTTTATTGTTCCATTTCAAAATACATATATATTATTTACGAAAATAGTAAAATTAAACATATGAATGAAAAATATTTCTAATACTTTCTTAACTTCTTCATCATCGAAGTATCTTATATTTTCTTTGTATCTCAAATAGCATGTTAATGATGAAATAAAATTATTTATTAACTTCTTTGGATTGGTTGGTACTTCCCCAAAGTTTCGCTTTACGTAGTCTTTGTATATAACGAGTTGAGCATAATTTATCAAAAAATTAAGTAAAGTCAATTTTCTGTTAACTATTTTATATCCAATCAATAACATTTTCATATCAATTTCAATTTCTGTTTTAAAGATAAAATATATAATTCTTGAGATAATTTTCCAGAAAACTCTTTATTTCTTGCAACGAAATATAAAATTTTCAATAGTTTCTTTTTCACGACAAATTTCACATTCGTTAGACTGTATGATTTTCCATGTAAAAAGATTGTCTTTAGATGGCAATATTCTATGAATTAATTTGAAATTATATTGTTTGATATTATTGTCTCTTATCTTATCAAATTTTAACCGAAATACATCTTTCCAAACAAATGTTTCTGGTAGGCCTAAAATATTTTGGCAGAAATGGAAATGATATGAAAATAGGTCCCACAACTACCCATAACTGCGTGCACTCTCCTTATGCCTTCTTGAGCTTATATTTAGCCGGTAAGCTTACAGTGCTTTTTCTAGGGATGTTTTTTTTCTTCCTGAAACCTCCCCAGACCTAAAGAAAAAAAAAATAGGTGTTCAGGGATTCAACGCTGAATCCATTAGGTGCGTTGTACAGTGATCCTCTTGATATTTTTATTGTGTTCTTCCGCACATTTACAGAGCATCGATATTTCACAATTAAGTGAATGGCAAATGCAAGTGAAAGTGGGAAATAAAATTCGAAAATCCGAGTCATCAGATTTATCAAGGATTACCTACCACAGACTTTCTCCTATTCTTTCTTTTCGCCGTTTTATCCAAACAGTGAAGCAGGCAAAGATGATGATAATGATGATGATGATGATGATGATGAAGGGAATGAGAAGTCCTAACAAAATCTTGGGAGTTTCAGTGCCACTAGTTTCTGCAAATTTATCAGCATCAATAAGTATTCCGTTAAATCGAAGAGCTTTATTTTTCATTCTGTAACTACATGTGATGATACAGTGGAAGATTGGTTGATTATGATTATCTTTAAGTTTTACTCATTGATATCAAAGTGAAATATCCTTGTTATAAAATGAAATGTGGGGACAGCACTTTTGCTTTTCATTTTAGAGTTTTCCAAATTTGTCGTTGCGGGTGGGGCGTTTCCCTGGATATGCCACTACACGTATGGTGACATCTAAATATGTTTTTTTTTTTATAACCCGAAGAGAAAAATATTATAAGAAAAAGTTAAAGAGAAAAGAGAGAAAGAAAAAAAGGACGTGACCTAAATAACCTGGTATGTGATTGTTATAAAGTGCTTGCAATTTATGTTGGACGTGGTTTTGAAAGATTCTAATGTCGATGTTAGTATTTAAAAAAAAACAAGCAGAAAGAAAAGCCATGTTAAAGGAGACCGTGACTTGTTATTTTGCCTTTATTTTACGTGAAAACAATTCAAACAAAAATACAGCTTGCAACGTCATTCAAAAGAGTTCACAAACTTACATAAATCCAAAATTGTTTCTTTACCTATAATTACCTATATCGATGAATACAGTTACTAACTGTAGCTAATAGCTAGCATAAGTACGATCTTGCCATACAATGAGAAATTAAATCATAGTATTTCAACAAACATTGATAATGGAAATTTATTTCCTGATATTTGTAAGCACAACTTAGAAATGAACATTTTAAATTTGTGCTGTAACCCGATTCCAAAAATACGAAGGCCCAGTTTTATTGAGAGCTCGCAGTTTTCACAACTACATTTGATATTAATATCATTGATCAGGTATTGATTGGAGGACTTGAGTCCGATTCTTATCAGTCGCACCTGTATAATGGGCACAGGGTTGAAATTCACTTCAATCTGAGATGTGTAACCCAAAAGAGGGTTAAAAGAAATAAGGACACTTCCCCTTACGGAAGGAAAACATAAACAAAACAATTTTACTTTGCCATTTTATTATTATTTTGATCTCATATTGTTGAATGTGCACAAACGGTCATTCGCCCACGCCCGCACACACACGAACTGTACCCGTGTTTGTTGGAACTAGATTATGAAAGAAAAACTCCGCAAAAAGTGATAAATCTGACTGAAATGTGCAAAGGTGTGTTTTTCGCTAAATGTCATCATATTATGAACTCAACATTAATCTTATATCCCTTCAATTATACCATAATTATAGAAAAACAACAATATATGACTTAGCATACATGAAAAACCGTCTTCCAAGATAAAATAAAAACCGGGAAGTAAAGTAACACAACTCTTGAGTATTTATCTCGATTAACACAGGGCTGAAAGCCTATTTACGTGCAGTGAGTAGTTACACATTTATACACCTAAGCCTTCATCGCAAGCACCATTCATCTGCTCTAATCTTTTTCATGGCACATGACGTAAACGAACTAAAATATAATAAAGCAACACTATCTAATACACGAATTGTGTATGGTATTCTAACACTGCAAATGAATTATTTTTAGAAATGTATCAAAAAGAAAGGAAATACTTGTCGAAAATCATTTTAAACATTATTATCGAACAGACTTAAAATACAATTTTCATAAATTGAAATAAAACGATGGCCTAGATGAAGTATTTTCGGAATCATACATCAAATATATATCAACTACGCTAAAATATCAGCAATTTGTATTCTTCCTACGGCAGTATATGTTCTCCAAGAGATAAAAGTATACTTTAGTAACTTAAATGGTGATTGTTCTATACGATGATTTAACCAAGAAAGTGTTGTTGCTAACAACGCATGATATATTACTTTCTTGTGAAAAATTATCATTGAGATCGCGAGCCAACTCAGCCTTAATTAGCATTATCAGTTAGCTATGAGGTTCTTGAATTTCTCCTTGCAAATATTTTGATAGTGGTTTCAAAAGGAATCATTTCCTAAACACTCACTGATTGTATTAGTTTATAATAATAAAGAAGAAAGATACAATCATAAGTTGCCATTTTGACTTCAGAATCTTACCAGACCCGGGCGACTCTTCGTCAGCTGGTACTACATTGATTTCTGTATATAAGGGAGAAAGATATAAAGATAGAGAGAGAGAGAGAGAGAGAGAAAGACAGAAAGAGAGAGGAAAGGGGTGCGTGGAAGGGATAATAACGGAGAGAAAGAAAGAGAATGAAATATTGGGAAACTGAAGCAAGAGACGTAACGACTGATCAATACAATTCTGAGAAGATTCTATCAAGAATAAACGAAACTATCCCAATCATTTCATGAAAAGAAGTAATACCAAATTATTACAACTTTACAGGCGACTGAGTACATATGAACTTGTATAGTAATATAATAGCTGAATAGCATAACATGTTTTTTCACGTCATCACCTAACATCTAGTTCTACTTACGAGTACTAGTATTCGTTTTCCGACACGATGGAATGATTCCATGCCATACAAAGTCTTGAGTTGTAGAGGTTGTTGCCTTGTCACATCTCATCTTCCCATCTCCATCCACCAACTCGTAGCTGTCGTTGCACTTGGCGGTGATAGTTGTGCCGTACATGAATCCATTCAATGTATTAATCCAAGATCCGTTGTCTATCTCAGGCGGGTCGTGGCAGAATCCAAACGAGACTTGTAAGGTTTTGATCAAAAGGTGAACCAGACACATTACTTCAATTAAATACACTGTAAAAAGGTGTTTTCAGCCTGATGGTAGTGATATGTCTATTGTATTACGAGCCCAGCTTGGTTGATTAAAGAGACAGTTTATATGTTATAAAGTTATGTTATAGATTAGTTTAGGTGATCGTGATTGAGCAAAACATTACCCAAGTTGGGCAAAACAATTGTCTAAAATTAGATTTAGCACATAATTATCTTCCTAAATTGCAATTTTGCTCCAAGCATCTTTTTTATCCTTTACAGAGTATCCAACAAAGGCTGCACTGACATAAAAGTGTTCTGTTTGAGTGGTGTGTACCCTTAACTAGTGATGTGAAGGCCATGGGTTCGAGCCTCCTCAAGGTGTAAATCTCATTTGTCAGTTCATTAGTCATCTGCCATGAATCTCCGTTTCCAAGAATAAGAAATGTGATCTCAGAGTGGTTTGAAACTGGACTGGATCAGTTGGACTTTGATCTAAAGTATTTATCGTTTAGGTTTTGTCATGTTTACCATGTTTAAAAAAAATAAAAATATTTCCTTGATAAAGGATATTACAGTAAGTTCAGCTTGTGCTTCAATGTGGTGATTGCTACTAGAAGCTTTCAAAATTGGAATACCGTTAAAGAGGGTTGCATATTGCCCAGTTTGGCTTTCGCTGGTTTTCCTACATCGGCTACGTTCTTGAGAAAGTTCGGTAACATCCAGTGCAGTTTGATTAATACATGAACAGTTAATTCGGTGTTGATGTACAGCATACTGTGGAGTGGTAGAGAGGGCCTTGCAGTAGGTAAGACATTGATTCCTGCTCAGTTTTACACTTCTTGACAGCAGATGAGTGTTTTCCGCAAGGTCGAAGCATCCAAGTTCACTTAAAACTAAGAGTAACCAGAAAACATTAGTGATTAATACAACTTGTTTCTAGTACTTCTCAACATCGATTATGCAACGTTATTCTACAAAGCGGTCCAACTCTAGCATGGACCCTCTAGGGTAAAGGTCACCAAACAGAAAATGGGTTCTCACACCTTTTCAGAAACATATAAACGCTCAGTAAGATTAGTGGCAGTTTCCACATTTTCACATTTAACAACGTTATCAAAAAGATGCTACTGTGCATTTTCAAATGTCATTTGTTGTTATCACGGTAGCAAGGGAACCGCCTCCCACATCCATCCCGAATAACCTCTATCATAGTATTTTTTAAAGATAAGAAGAGTGCATTATCACACAGCTGAGTCGTTTCAAATCTGATGATTTTCTTCCACGTTTCGTTCAAAATTGTGCACAGGGTAACACCTGAACCCCAACACTCACCCCAAGTGTATACATAATCTTTCAGGCATTTTAGCACATAGGAGCGCAGATCGCACCAGCCCCTCCCCCACGCCCCACCTCCACCCTCAGCCTTTTCAACATTAATGTTTGTCAAATATTTGGTCTGGGCACACCTTCAAAACATTCTGACCTTGTTTGTGTGTAGACATGTACTTACCACTACACACTATCACTAACGAGACTTGAACTGTGCACCTGGACGTTGATATCTTGCAGTCTTGAAGGCGAAAAGTTGCTAAAAATAAAACATAAGAAGTTGTAAATTGAATGATCTTAAACTCAATTTTTGGCTACAATCTACAAGACCGGCAGCCCAAGAGACCAACCTCGAGGGCTGGCAGTTTTGTGAATCTTTCGAAATTTGTTATCATGATTTAGATGAACCAATGGATTCTAAATTCCGATCATTGATTAAAAAAAGCAAATATTTTTACTCATTACTTAACGAAACTATTTGAAATAACTTCTAGCATTTCTTTCTTAACGCGACACCAAGCGATTAATTGATACACCTGCCTATACTACTTTCCCAGTCCAATTTAAAACAAAATTATTAGCAGTCAATATGATAGATAAATCGAATTTGTTCATTCAATGAAGCACAAACACAGCAATGCTTCATGAAATATCGTTCACCATTATAAATAATTAATATTATGTAATTCAAATTTTTAACTTATTTGACGAGCTTACGGCACACGTTCTTACGACCTTTGCTATTCGGTCATTTTCCTTTTTTAGTGTATCCTAACTGAAGATAAATAAATTTAAATCAAAGTTATTATCAACATATTATGTTCTTATTCAAAGATATGAAAGGGTAATAATCACTATGAACATGACTGACAAAGAAAGCGGACAAAATATACAGTTCCTCAGGTAGACAACGGAACATCCCTTCACTGCTATTATGTAAACATGTGTAGAACAGGTGTCACATGCATATTCACCTTTTTACATAATAGCAGTGAAGGGATGTTCCTTTGTCTACCTGAGGCAGGCGCGGATCCAGGATTTCTTAGGGGAGGGGGCCCAACTTTTTTTTTTTTGCTCCCGAAAATTTGAAAATCGCGCCGGCCGAAAAGTCGCTCAGTGGGGGGGGAAGGTACAGAGCACATTTTTTTTTTTTTTTTTTTGCTCCCGAAAATTTGAAAAACGCGCCGGCCAAAACTTCGCTCAGTGGGGGGGGGGGGGGGGGGGGGGGGGGGGGGGGGGGGGGGGGGGTAGTGAGCACATTTTTTTTTTTTGATCCTCAAAAAAATTTCAATTTGCACCCCCCCCCCTTGAGCGCCAGGGGGGGGCCCACCCCCTAAAAAGGTAAAAATCACGTGATTTTACATGATTTTTTTTCTCAAGGGGGGGGGGGGCCCCCCCCTGGATCCGCCACTGACCTGAGGAACTGTGTATTTTGTCCGCTTTCTTTGTTCGTCATATTCATAGTGAATGCAGGTATCAATCTACATCTTTTTCGAGTCTTTCCCGTGGTACCTCCCTACTCACATTTGCTGCATTGGTAATTTATTCCCTGTGATTCCGAGATATTCTCAGTCTCTTTGTGAATATAGTCTCGTAAGATCCGGGAAATCCTGCTTCTCTGCACACCGTATCTGCGACATCCGTATGCCAGGCATCTGTGCATACAGGCTGCATCATCACTCTAGTATGCTCCAAACCCTCAAAGGCCTCGTGGATACCAGTGTAATCTAACAGAGAAATCAAGGTAGCAGATATTACTACGTAAATTTGTTTTTTTTACAATGGTTTACATGGTCTCAAACTCTGTATAGATGGCTCTGCGTAAGTTACGCTGGTCGGTGGAAGGTCGTGTTAACTTAATCTTGGCAAGTTGGTCCGTGTGGACAACTATTGGTGCCACGGTAAGTGAAATATGAATGAGGTATTTACTGCTGCCGGGATTAACTTACGCCTACTAGCAAAACCCCATCCGAATTCTGAACAAGACTACAATTACATAGATTTTATAAGCTCGTATCCAGTATTCATCTTGGCGGGTTGTACAATTTCTTTTTTTTAATACAAATTACCTTGTCTTCCCATGCACAGATTCCAACAAATGTTTATTCTATTCTTTATGCATTCACTTTTTGAACGACTCTCACATGTCGTGTCAAAGACCGTGCTAGTCACTGACGCATTTCTATGTTGGTAATAATAATAGTTCAGTTCTTGTATAGCGAATAATACGTTATGAAATAACATCTCTATGCGCTTCCAAAGAGCTTTGAACTTTTTTGCCCTAGCTTTAGCTCCGGCAGCATTATCAGCGCACAGTGCATTTCAAGGAATAATCCTACCAGGTACTCATTTACCTCACCTGGGTTGAGTGTGGCAACTGTAGATCAATGTCTTGCCAAAGGACATATAGTGCCGCGGTAGGACTCGAAGCGCAGACCTTGTGATCGACAGTGCGGTGGCGTATCCACTCGACCACAACACCTCTCACCGTAACAAAATGAAACCTCGTGTACAACGGGCATTAGCGGCCAAAAGCTAGTCTCCTATTTATGAACATGTCTATTTTCAAACTGCATGTATTACGAAACTAAATAAATAAGAAAGAAAAATTAATAGAAAAGGGGTATTTGAAAAATGTTTGAAAACTGTAGTGTTGGTAACACGCTTCATGAATTATCAAATGAATTGAGTACAGGGCCTAAATGTGGGTATTATCACCCGGCCAGCTACCTTTATTGTTACACATAATCTATTCAACAGGGAAAGTAAAAGATGTCATGACCTCGTTAAAAAAAAAATTGGTGGGGAGGGGGGATTTTCCTTTATTATATTTTCTGAGGTTTTCACCTGTTTCCTTGAAACAAGAGATGGACAGATGGAATCCTGTTCTACTCTCGGACGAATCGGAGGTGAAGATAATCGCAAGGTGGTTCCAGAGGGAAATATATGGTGTAGCCAATTTGCTTCCTCTGTACTCTGCTTTAACAGATGTATAGTTCTCTTCCTCTATACGTAGATAATCACTCTCCTCAGTTTGGAAGTCATTAAATGTGACGAGGATTCTTTGAGCGAGGTCTGCTCGTACATTCCAGTGAATCTTTAAATTGTTGTTGTAGTTGTCAGGATAGTTCGGAGATGTCACGTTCTTGATATCACCACATTTTAATGTGATCGATACAGTCTCTCCATCGGCTATAAGTAGAAAGGGTGTTAACTTACTAACTGTTTATAACAAAGTACTAATAAAAATTAACTTTTGATATATTACTACTGTATAATATTTTGACCTATACAGATACTGATTCGATCATTCGATATCATTCATCTCGTGATTCACAAAAAGAATTTCCGTTTCGGTTTAATAAAATTTGGAGTGGACTATTAGGCTATTATTATTATTATTATTATTATTATTATTATTATTATTATAAGGAAGGTGGCATGAAACGTTATGTCTTCACCGATTAAATGGTTCAGCAATTTCCCAAAGTTACCCATGCTATCTCTCTAAATCGTGTTATTGGCAATGGAGTGATTAAGAAAAATTAACGTCCGGTAAAATAAAAAGTAGTAAAAGGACCAAAAACGTAGCAACAGGAATGATGCTTTTTGTTATCCTCTTGTAGAAGAATCTACTGTTATTATAATGTAAGTTACCTTCCTGTAAAAGAGACCCTGTTTGTAAATGTATGTTTATCAAGTGTTATATATCGGTTTGGGGAATCACTGGGACACTTTTGTCAGTCCGTGCTTACATGAGATGTATACTGCCTATTATTATTAATACTCTAATACACTGATACCGAGATTTTTAGTATGATATGGTGTGATCGTAATACCTCTTAAGCCCACCGCGCACTGTACGATCTGACTAAGAACCGATTTTGGAACAATTCGCAATAGTCTTTATTATGAAAATTCAAATTTAAAAAATCTTATTGAACGAGAATCTGGACGGTCATATGCTAAACAAAATCTAAGTTTAAAGGGATTTCAGTTTCTTCGGGGAGAAGCTAAATCGGCTCAGAATCGTAGTGATGAACTTTTAAAATATTATTGAACGAGAATCTTTACGGTCAGACCAGTAGATTGTCTACGATTTGAGGCCGATTTGGCTTTACTTTGACCAGAAGGTTTAAATACACTACAATTCCGAATGTAAGTACTCTTATCATTCCTCCGAATCGGAAATCGGGAAGAAAATATTTGTTTAGACATCCATATATGATATAATTTGCCATATCTTCGAAAATTGCAAGAGGATCGTGTTGTGTGGGTTAGGCATTCGAATAGGAGACTAAACAACGATATACGCAAATGTTTACATATCCCCCGATGCGTAACTCTCTTCTCATTTCTTTACGGTAAGTTTTCCTTATGTTTAATTGGCGTTCCCCTTCCCCATCCTCACCCCCCCCCCCAAAAAAAAAGAATTTATTTATTGTTAACCATATTGTCAACACACAATTGCCCAATTAGATATGACATACATACACGTACATACCATTTACTCTGCCAAATCTGGGAGCAAGTAAGACATAGAGAAGGGAAAGCGTATATACTGGATGCATGATGGTCATCAGGTTAAGGAGACTCAGCGATCTGGTTCTCTGCAGAAACAAGGTTCAAAGCATTGTTAAAATTAAACGGATCACATGAAAAAAAGCCCACTGACGAAAGCACACGAGGCCGACATTATCGGTCTCATAGGGATTCTCGTCACTTCTAAGAGGGTTATCTAGACCGACGAACCCCGAAACCGACAGCCCACTGGACTGACAGCCCATAGGACTCACAATTTCCAACTCATGAGCCTTCTTTCTGGAAACGGTTCATGGACCGATGTTTTCGGTCACATGGGTTGGCTGTATATTTAGTGAACCCACCCATGTCGGTCCGTGAACCACCATAAAAGTTGATTAACTGCATATGAACAATAATTGAAGAGTATAGATATGTCGACTGCTATTTGTATCCGCGTTCGCACAAACTAAGTTTGAACACGTAAAGCAATGGGGATCGCAGCAAAATTTTACTGTTTTCCCGGTACCCGGAATCTTGCGGGCATCTCACTCATGAGATATTAACCTGTACTGGCATTGTTCTTTTCTTAACGGGAATGGCTTAAATCACGACTTCAATTTCGACAAATCAGATGGCCAGATTTCTAAAGAGAGGTATATAATCTTAAATAAAGTTAAAGGCTGCATCAATTTTTTTTTTAAGAGACAGGAAAAAGACGAGGCATAAGGACTTCTCTCCAGTCGTGAATGATAAGGCAATATTTATAAAGAGGCAAGAATGTTCACTAAAGGCAAGACTTCACTTTTGTAGAGTTTAAGCATCTATAATTTATTTATGTAGATGATTTCTGGACCCCATGGAAGACCAGCAGTGTCGTGCCTGGCACAGCTGAATATGGGCTATCCATCCGTTTTATTAATGTGATCTATATACTTGTATTATATGTTTTTTGTTTTTTTTAACGGAAAATAAATACTATACTATACTATATTATATCCTGCATCAAAAATTTGTTGGCTTTTGATTGGTTGAGAGCTCGTCACATGACCAGAAATATTTGACCTATTTTTAGAAAGTACTATATGAGAGTACTATTTGGGTTTACTATTTGGGAGTTTTAAAAAAAAAAGTGATTTTTTTTTTTGTTTGTTTTGAATTGATTACAATTTTTTTTTCAAATCTTAATTTAATGACAACAAAATATTCTAGACTTTTTTTGTTCTAAATTTTGTTTCTCCAATATATATATATATATATATATCTATATACATTTTTAAAATAAATTTTTGATGCAGGATATAAAACAAATATACCATGCCTTCTATTTGAGGTACTGGTAAACTATGGGCCTCGGTGAATCCAAAAGTACCATTTGCTTCGGGGCTGCGCCCCTCAGCAAATAGTACTATTGGAGCATGGAGTTACTATTGGAGTCACCTCTTGCGCATATTTTTAACCAGAACCTCTCAAGGCAGTGTATATTTGTATACTATTCCGAAGAATTGTTAGCCTAATAGTAACTCCTTGATCAGACTGCGGGTGATTTGGTTTTCAAATGGTCGGGGGATTGCTTGCTTCCTGATTAAAAGGTTCAAGTTGTGTCAGAAAATATCAAATATGTTCAACGGGCCCTCAAGAATGAAATTCTGCACACACTTTTGCCCGAATTCACAAAGGAGGTTTGTCGACAAACCTCCTTTTGTTTTTTACAAACCAGGTTTGTAAAAAACGCGTCAAAACGCGTCATATGACGTACATTAACCTCGGTTTGTCGACAAACCTCCTTTGTAAATTCGGGCCATTTAGTTTGAAGCCTTCCGGGACTTGAAAAATTACGGGAATTACGTAAATTGATTATTCAATTCTTCCAAAATGCTAAAAAAATCAAATCTCCCACTTTTTATGTTGATCACATGTACTTCCTCGATATATATATTGATACTGATACATAATGGTACACACTGTAATGTAAATATCATATACATTTCTGATTATCTACTTTCATAACTCAATAACAACAACAACGCTACTATACGAATGCGACTACTACAGCTATTAAGCACATCAACAACAAAAGCAAAAATAATAATAATAATAATAGTAGTAATAATAATAGTAATAATAATGAAATATCAGAATATTCGTTCTGATTTTTGATTATATTGACTAAGAGTGTTTTCTTTATGTTTTTTATTTGGGGTTGGGGTATTATACCATAAGTTAAAAAAAAACTATTATATTACTTTCTTTCAACTGGAAGCAACTATGCCTGAAATGTTTGGAATGTGTATAACTAACTTAATCTAAGCACTTTATTCGACGAATCTTCACTGAAAATATCATACTCTATAGTGAGACCGAATTTACACATCATGAAGGGCTCTTGATGTTTGAATAATAGTGCGGGGTTTTATAATTGGACTTTGAATTGGACTTCTTTAGAAAACGAAACAATCCGGTGGAAATTCCCCAATCGCTTCACATGTTTGCATGAATGCCAAACGACTACATTAAAATATTAACATACATTGAATGTAATTAACAAATAATTTATGAGAGAGGTATGAACTCTGAATTGATATTATCTCTTTTTTCTTCTTGCTTTGTTTCATCCTATATTACACTGTAAGATTATATCTGTCTTCTCCTCCTCCTTCGCTCCTATGTTTTACTTTCGTTATTATCTCTACCATATTTAAAGAAGTGTTAATGGGATGTGAAGTATGAAGTACTTTCAATTTCAGGGTGATATGTCGTTGTAATTTACATATTGGATATTCTAGCATAGATTGAGAATATCATGAAATTGAAAGTCTTAATAATTGATGATATTACTTTCTTTCAACATGAAGCAACTATGCCTGGAATGTTTGGAATGTGTATACCTATGCTAATCTAAGCTTTTGATGTTTGAATAATATTGCAGAGTTTTATTACGAAACTGAATTGGACTACTTTAGAAAACGAAACAATCCGGTGGAACATCCCTATTCACTTCACATGTTTGCATGAATACCAAACGACTGCATTTAGAAATTAAATCTCAAAAGCCCTTCATGTTGTGTCATTTCGGTTTCGCAAAAGCGTATGATATATTCAGTGAAGATTCGTCGAATGACCATGATGACTGAATTATAAATCTATTGTATAGGTCAAAAGATTAGCATAGGTATAAACATTCCGAATATTTTTTGCATAGTTGCTTCCTGTTGAAAGAAATATTTATATAATATTGGATGGCAAAATTGGGAATTTATCAATAAATATTCTGTTTTTATTTATACAAAAATATTTAAAACAAATTAAAGGGACTTGGTAACATTGTTCAGATGAGAGAAAATGGTGCTAAGGTAGTGACTTAAATGCTAGATGTACAATTCAAGATAATCTGAAAATTTGAGCGAATACGGACCATTATTAACGATAATAATTGGGAAAAACTGATCTGATCGATTCCTTAATTCTCCCAACTATATTATTACAATTTAATTACATTTTAGGTGAATTTAAATCGTCACAAAGCAATGAATTGGCTCTCTATATCGTTCCAGACATTTAAGTGTTGAGAGATTTTTAAGAGCCTGTCTTATGTCTTATTTTAAAGAAAAAACGGTTGGGAAAACTCAAAAATAGTTGGGAGAATTTACTGTTAATCACTGTTAGAGGGTGTTGCACAGTGACGCCTTTAAGGAAAACCATAAATATCTTTGTTGTTTGAGAATTTTCTCAGGAATTTTTGCCTGTTGGAGGGTAAGCACAGTACAAGGAATATAATACGTAACATTTCATACAAGAATTACACAGTTATTTCATCAACCTTCTAAAATGTTACCGAGTCACTTTAAATAAATAAATACAAATACAAATATATTTTTCATGTTGTGGTGTATTAATGTACTATGTTCTATTATGTAATATAAAAGGTCACATTATATCGTGCGTTATGCCTCGACAATGCCGCCGAGCCGACTAAGGACCGACGGGGGGGGGGGGGGGGGGGGGGGTAAATGTTCTTTACTTCTTAAAGGTACTATGTCCCATTTGCAGGCATTTCAACGGCATTTGAATGACAATACTAACCTAGAGATTCCCTCAAAACAAAAGGGTTTGAAAATGGCTTTCAGTAGGAAAATAACGACCATTAGTTGTCGGATCGACTTAAGTGATTGCATTCAGCTAAGTAATATTATGTTTAGACCCTTTTACCGAATGTTCGTACGTTTTTTGCTGCACAAAGATTCAATCAGTCTAATTTTGGCCATTACAAGAAGTGGGCTATTGATGTAGACAAATGCTCATTTACCTGTCATCTAGTTGGGAAAATGTGATTTATGCAGGTTACCCAAAATAAAAAATATTTAGAGTGGCTTCTAGGAAAAAAAATGAAAGAGTTACAAGAGTGGAAAGAAAAAATTCAGATGGCTACTGATACCCACTTTGTGGAAGATTTACAGGACGAAATGCAACCAAACTGAATATATTTGTCTTACGGTTAACAAACCCTTAGCATATTATAATACTCCATAAAGCTTCTTCTGTGTATTCATTTTTATATTTTTTTGTATTGTTCCAACATGACGATAAGTGATGTATATAACACACTGGGGAATCCCCATATCAATAAGAACACCCGTTGAATACCCTACATAGAACGCAAAAGCATTTCGACAATGGATGTACGTGTAACATAGTTACTGGGGAATCCCCATTTCACAATACCGATGGGAATACCAATTGCACCCGCATAATGAATGCAAAGCCTATCACTATGAACATGACGGACAAAATATACAGTTCCTCATGCAGGTAGACAAAGGAACATCCCTTCACTGCTATTTTGTAAAATTGTGTAGTGAATATGCATGTGACACCTGTTCTACACATTTTTACATGATAACAGTGAAGGGATGTTCCTTTGTCTACCTGAGGAACTGTATATTTTGTCCGCTTTCTTTGTCAGTCATGTTTATAGTGTATGTGGCCTCTATAAAATTCCAATCATAGTGATAGTTGCTCCCCACCACCTCCCCAGCACACAAGGTGAAATTATTCGATACCCCCCCCCCCCTACACGCACACATGCACA